AATGCGTCTGCAGCAAAGCTGTTTTGGTAGCAAAAAGTCACGAGATGTTTAGAACAGGCAACGGCCTTGGGTTGAATAAGGGAGAAACCTCTGTGCTATTGCTTGGAACATCAACCTTGGGGAATGGTAAAGCTTGCTAAGCACATTCCATTTTACACATTCCTCCTTCCAGTCGAGCTTGTTGCGACATTGCCCTCCATAAACAAGAGAGTTTCAGGTGCCACCAGAACTATGGGAAGTGTCTTTCACACTCTCAGATACATCTTCTGGATTCCCAGAGCTGATTACTCACCATCAAGCTGCTTGTCTAACTCCTGTTGGATGAGCCTTCTCAAAGTCTCTAGAGATGGGGGCTCCCCCTAGGGGGTAATAATAACAGCAATAGCAAGACATAATCACAGCCAAGGGATGTGCAAATTAAGCCCTCCATAATGGGTTTAGTGGGTTGCATTTCATCACAGCATACACAGGATTATAGGGACTGCCTGAAAGATGCATGTAAAGGAATTCATAACATCCACAATTCCCAATCTGCTGGGAAGCCATGGGCTCAATGGTATAAGCAGGGAGTCTGGTCAGAGGCATAGTTGGGCATTGTCCCCATCTCCTTCCTAGAGAAAATCTCCCTCCTACAGACTAATAGGAGAAGCAGTAGAAATCAAATCAGGAGACATGCTCTGCCCTACTAGATCACAGTGGAAAGCCTACCTCCTTCTTCAGCCCTGCACATTTCCTTGCAGAGAGAAGCATGTGTGCCCCCAGGGTAGCTAAGGTGGGTATCTAGACTTGCTATATAAACACTCACACTGGATTTCTTATCTCAGGGAACAGAAACCAGTTTATGCATATGATACCCATTCTTCTAAATGAGTACAAGGTTGTGCCTGATTTCAGGCTGTTGAAAGAAGACAGGGGATGTGTCTGCCTGGCCTTGGTCCCCTACCCAGCCTTTTTCAGCCTCTCTCTCAGCTCTTTTATCTAATGTTGCTGTAAAAGCTGTCAGAGCTCAAAGCTATGTGAACAAGTCTGGGTGATGCAACTGAAAAAACACAATGAAAGCATTTTTGGTAGATGGAAGCAGAATTTTCCAGGTTGTGGCTTTCTAATAAAAAAAAAAAGTAGTTTTAGGTAACCAGAGACTTGTCTTCACATAAACTCAAAAGAAAAAATGTAGCTATATGTAAAAAATAAACCATTTTGAACCAGCAAGATCAAATGCTTTCCACTGTACGTCATGAAGTGAGGTGCTTCACTTGAAATATACATTTCATTTTTTGGCTAAGATTGTTCTTTGAATTTCTTCCAGTTTTGAAAATACATCTGTTCATCCTAAAGGCTGCATGCGTTTGTGCATGAGTTATTTGCATGAAAGTGTTTTTCCCTCACACCTATCCTTTTAACACACTGTGTCCTTTATACTTATAAAAACCTAGTGAGGTTTTTTGACTCAGAAGTTACTCTTCACTAAGAAACGTAGATTTTATTAAACAGAAACATTTCAATTTTAACGAGTAACATTGCTGATAAGTATAGAGTTGGTCTATTTGCTGCTTTCTTCCCAATACAAATTTTGCATGAAAAAAGGATGTGTTTGTTAGTGACAAAAGAAACAATTCTGTCATTAAGCACTAACCATTTATAATGGCTCTTAGTGAATATCTCAGCGAGTAAACATGATTGTGGAATGTGCTTTGGAGGCGTACAAATTATCTTTTCAAGTTTTAACTCTATTTGTTGTATTAAGTGTCCACAATGGTCACTGGATTTCATCAGATCTCTGTGTTGTTGAAATACACAAAGAAATGCTTTGTCTAAAATTTACCCAGTTTTTACAGCAGAGATGATTTCACTGAGGTAATCTCAAATTCAGCCTCAGGATGGGTGTCACGGCTTCACTAATGTTGGTATTATTTCTCATTCTTGTAGATATATTACCCTAAGGCATTCTCAGTAGTGAGATTGTTTCCCGTTAGAGACAAAAAAAAAGAGAGAATATTAAACAAAAATAGGATTTTTTAAAATTCTGATGAACTGGCTCCAGGATTTCCAGGAATAGAGCAGTGACCTTTCCAGAGCTCAGCCTTCTGTCTTTCATAACAGCCAGCAGCAGGGGAAGGTGTAAGGTCTCTGTATGAAATGCTTAATGCTTAAAAACATTATAAAAAAAGCTTTTTCAGACCCCAGATCCATGATTTAGGCTTTTAGGGGTATAAGATGTCAAGGAATGGCTGCCCTGGCTATAGGTCGATATTGCTCAGCTCTCCTGAAGTTCAGTGCACGCACTGCTTCCCTGAGATATGTTATAGTACCAAGAGATGAAAACGGTGCCTCCCCATTGTAACACGCACTTGCTCTGGTTCCTATCAGCCTTACTGTAATCTTATGTACTTTTCGGATCACACGCTGTATATGTGATACAAAGCTCTTCTCTGTCAATCTTACCCTTGGTCCTGGAAATCCTGGCTGTCCCGGAGGACCAGGAGGTCCAACTTGCCCAGTGTCTCCTGGGGGTCCATGGGGACCCATCAGTCCTGGATGGCCTTTATGACCAGGTATCCCAGGATCACCTGGAGGGCCCTTTTCCCCTTGAGGGCCTTTCTCGCCTTTGATGCCTGGCTCTCCCTAAAGTGAAAACCAAACAGCATCACCACCACAAAGTAAGAGGCAAACTTCTGATTTCCAAGCACAGCGAAACACAAACAGCTGAGCTGGCAAAGTTACTGAATACAACATCTGGTGCATTACAAATGATCCACAGATTATTACTGACATAGAATGATTAAAGAGGGGGCTGGGAGGGTGGGAAGCATGGCAGATCTCTACAGGACACACTTCTCTCTTGAATGACCCCTTCCCCTAACTCAAAATAGCTCTTTTTATTTCAACCCAATGAAATAACTAATCATATTCCCCAACCTACCCTCTCTCCTCTGGAGCCAGTTTCACCTGTTTTCCCTGGAGCACCCTGCAACAAAATGAGGGTGAGATTTAAAGAGCTATCCATAATAACAGTGAATGATAAAACACATGCCTTTGCAGTGATTCTTGTGACCTGGGGAAAACTTATTCCCTTGTCAGTCCCATAGATTCCCGAGAGCTCCCCATTTGCTCTCAAATATCAACTATTCAAGAAAAAAATCAATTTGTTGTAACGCAGGTCACATTCTTGACATTTTAGACCCAAGACACCAGCCTTACTTTGAAACAACTGGGAATTTAACTTACCTCTTTTCCAGGAGGACCCTTCTCTCCTGGTTCTCCCTGAAAGATAGAGAGAGTGAATTTAGCACCACACTGCAAGGAGTTGGAATAAAAAAGACCCTACCTAATAACCAGTCCTGTTTTCTGTTTAGACTGCAAGCTTTCTGCTACACAGCAGCATGTTTGGATGATTTATCCTTAACCCACTGCTAAAGGTCATTCCTGGAAAGAAACATCCTGCTATTTAGAAAGAATTTTTAGTAAAGCTGCACACCCTGTAAATGTAAATAAGAGGAATCTATTTCTAACAAACCAGCTGAGGGCAGGATGGATGTTTCACTGAAGGTGTGCTCCTTCTTTTAATACATTTTGTTCCTTTTTCTTACAGGCGTTTCACAAAGCTTCACACACTTGAGCTGGTTTAGCTTAAGCAGTGTCAATGTTACATCCATAACAGGCTAGAGATGTAAAGGAAATCAATTTTGTAAGTAGAGGTACCATCTTGTATGACACTAGCTGAGGTAATGCATACTGAGCCCGTGGTAAAGCAAGTTTGAGCCTCAAATCTTGCCTGCATTTCAGAACTATATTAAAAAACCTCAGTTTGAACAAGCACCTTATTAGGATTTTTTTTCTCTACTCTGTGTTTATAATGTGCAAAGTAGCCAAAACAATTTGAATTTTATCCTTTCAATGAAATCAGTGTCACTGCTTTCCTGAAGTGCACTGATATAGCAAAACAAACATCAAATTAGTTACTGCCAAAATTCTGCCCACTTTCCCATATCTTGAATAGAAAGACTTATAGAATGGTTTGTGTTGGAAGGGAACTTAAAGCTCATCCAGTTCCAACCCCTGCCACGGGCAGGAACACCTTCCACTAGAGTAGGTTGCTCCAAGACCCTGTGTCCAACCTGGCCTTGAACACTGCCAGGGATGGGGCAGCCACAGCTTCTCTGGGCACCCTGTGCCAGCACCTCAGCACCCTCACAGGGAAGAGCTTCTTCCTTAGATCTAATCTAAATCTCCCCTGTTTCAGTTTGAACCCATCACCCCTTGTCCTATTGCTACAGTCCCTGATGAAGAGTCTCTCTACAGGAATCTTTAGATATTGGAACGTTGCTGCAACCTACATGCATGATCATACCTGCAATGTGCATTCAGGGGATGTTTTTCCCATAATCTGGTAACACATATAAGGTCTTCGACAATACTTGCATCTATAGATGTATGCATGAGTAATGTAAGCAATCACAGATGTGTGATCACGTCAGCTCCAAATCAGGCAGCACTACACTCACTTGAGTATTCCTTTGGGCCACCTCAGTTTTAAAGGGCCACCACGTTTTCTGTTTTAAATTAATTTTCCAGAGAAATATTTCTTTCTCTTCTTTTCATCACAAAACTCCCTTTACAATCATAAAAAATAAACAAAGAGAATCATCTTGTGGAAGATTCAGCTCTGCCAGATTCACATGAAAATCTTTTAAATCTCACTGTAAGTCACAACAGAGCTAGAAACAAAACTATTTACCTAACATTCACCCTTTCCGTCCTTCTAGTGCAGTGAAACGTATTTTACTTGTCTTGGAAGGACTAAAGAGATTGCTTTAATTGCAATATACCTCCACTGCTGGTAACAAAGGAATTTCCTTGGAACAGCAAATATCAGAAATACCTGTATTATTACCAGCACTTAAAATTTCCCTATTTGTCTCCTCTAGGGTTCACATAGAGATGTATTCTGAGAACTTAAATACCCCATACCCATATTAAGACAACTATTGAAACAGTCCAATAAATACACACATTATCAAGGCTGACTGACAGGTACCAGCTCAATAAATGAGATTATGGATGTCTGACAATATGAAAAATGCTACTTTTGCAGTCCAGTTTCTTTCGGAAGCAAAAGTGTATGGCTTCAGGATCATCAGATCTTCTGCTTACGTTTGTTTACCTAATTAAAGATGACCACATCCCATCTTCATCAATGCAACATTTAAAAGCAGGTCTAATTGGTCTAATCCATCCGCAGACATACTTACAGGGGGTCCTCGGGGTCCTATGAAGCCAGGAAGTCCTGGGCTGCCATTTTCTCCTTTATTTCCTTTAGGACCCTTAGAACAGAAATGAGACAGACACTAAAGTTTCTCCAACATCTCTTTTCCAGAGCATGCATTTACAGGTATATTGGAACTGGGAAACTTCACTGTAGCAGCAGGATTCCCAAAACTGACAAGGAAAGGAAGAACAAAGTCGCTTAGAAAAGCAGATTGCAAACACCATATGCTTGCATTATTAATAAGCTATGTGGGGTCCCTGTTGAAAAGATGAAAATGAAGTGACACTTATGGAAGTGACAGGGGGTGTGTTCAGTGGCTGTTCTGGCTTGGCATGGTTTATAAGGTGATGTTACAGAGTGGAAATGCTGAGATGGGCAACCACAGGGAAACAGTGAGGTGGTCATGCTGCTCAAACCTGGGAATACAAGCAACAGACAGCTGCTGAGTGGCTCTTTTGTCTTTATTTCTAGGTTCAATTTAAAACATGTCTGCCTCATCTCTTGTGATATTCTACCCAAGTACCCCTTTTTCTTACAGATCAAGGCAGTTTAAATGGCAGTTCATGACACAGAACCATTTCACATACACTTCTGATAATTCTGTTTTACTCTTATTTTAACCTTTTCTTTCACAGCTCTGCCCCAACCTTCTCATTCAGTACATGTCCTTTTTTCTTCTTAGAGTAAATCTCGTCTCTGTTTTAAGCCCGTCTTGTGTAAAGTGAGCACCAATGGACAGGCACAAAGCAGAGGGCTTTTGGGACTGCAATCAGCCCTGGAGATTTCAGGGGCTGGGCAACATTGCTGTATGCAGGGTTAAGCATGAATGCATTGTGAATTGGGATAGAACTGTCAAAAAGAGAAGGTTCCTGGCAGGTTTTACCTTCTGATTACAAGTCAGCAATGGCGAAGGCGGAAAAGAAGCCCTGATTGCCATGATAATCTTTCCTGCTTCTGCTTTTTTTCCGAAATAACATACTGGCCTGTCACATTGTGAAAGAAATTGGTGTGTTTCCAGACAAGACTGGAAATAAATGGATTCATGTACACCACAAGGAAATACTTCCCATAATGAGCTTTATGAAAGGGAGAGGATTCATTTTAATGACAGAGGAGGATTCTGATGAAGATGACTGTCTGTTCTGCTGACCAACACTGTCTCATTGTTTCTCCTTTCTCATCCATCTGTCTTCATCCTGTTTCAATCTCCTATGTTATTTTTGGACTCTAAATCCTCTGGAGCAGAGACTGCTGTAGTTCTGTGTGTGCAGGAAGCTGCCTGGTGAGTCCCCAGGTCACTGACTGGCTGACTAGGTAATGTGATAACACGATGATGATTAAAACGTAACCCCCATTTGGCAATCACAGGAGATCCTAAGTCCAAAATGACCTGGTAAAGAGTCAGAAAGCCAAAAAGCACTAACAGGAATTGGGAGTAGAGAGGGAATGATGAAAAGAGGAAATGAAGGTTGAAAAGGCAACAGCAGGGATCCACAGGGTAAGAAGCGATGGCAGTAGTCCCAAGGAAGGAAAGAAGAAGTTATGTGAAGGAGAAAAGCTGTAGCACTTACTTATTCTTGGCTGCAGAAAGGCTGTGAGACTGCATCAGCCAACTGCCCCAACTCTGTGAGTTGTTATCACCCCATGCAGAAAGGTGCTGGTGGCTTCTCTGCTACCACTTAGGAGGAGACATCCCTGCAGCACAGCAATACATGCTCAGGGCACAAATCTGTGGCAAAGCTGAGGTTGCTTTGTGGCATTGTAAGGGCCACAAAGAAGACTGAAGTCCTGCTGTGATTTTTTCAGGTTTCTCCTGCTATGCCTTTATTTCTATCTGAATCTATCAGCCCAGCAAGCTGTAATGGTTAAGTAGATGGAGAGAGGGAAGAGCCCTGTACAGCAGTAGATGCTACTGGACACAGGCATATTTACATGGATTTGTGGAATCCTGAACAATTTCAGAAGCAGAACAGAGAAAAATAAAAACAAATGAAAACAGAAACAACTTTTCCCTGTCCTCCTTACAGCTCTTCATTATCATACTGTTCTTCCACACAGGATAGCCCCAGGGAGATTTCATTCTGCTTCGTGATCTTGGTTTACTACCCACTGTCTGCTCTTTCCCCAAGTGCCTGGGGAGGAGTTTTCTGCTGCTGCTATTCCTCAGTGGCAGTCTGCCATCTCCCTGAGGCCCTCTCCTTCCTTGTGACAACTCTCTGCTGGCTGCACACTCTGCTTGACAAAATTAAATGTACTGGTGAAGATGAAGCGTGCCAATCTTTTTTCTATACCAGGTAATCAATCTTTCTCCTCTTTTTGTGTCTGAACACTTAACTTTTGCTGGGAAAAATGATGACCCAGCCAGCAGCTCAATTCCAGGAATGCAGAATGATAGAATCATAGAATAGTTTGGGTTGGAAAGGACCTTCAGATTATCTAGTTCCACCCCCCTGCCATGGGCAAGGAATGCCTTACACTAGACCGTGTTGCTCAAGACTCCGTCAAACATAACCAAATCCCCTCCAGTGCCATGGTCAGTCAGTGATTTTCACATCACCAATCTTCCGACGTGGGAATTTCAGGGATGGTGAGCATAATCCACTCCATCTGTACTTTTATCAGGTCACTTCTCCTTGACATAACTGCTTGCTGCATGGGTTTCCTTTTGTGGTACTTACTGGGTTACCTGCTGGGCCAGGTTCTCCTGCAGGTCCGGGTGATCCATTCTTGCCCTATGTCAAAAGTAATGTATATTATAATTAAAAACATCCACCTACTGCTACACCAGAAGGGATTTCTTTAGCATTGTCCAACCTCCTCTCTCGGCAGACTGCAGAGTAAGGGCCTCTTATTTCCAATTGACCCCATAGTTTTGATGGCATGACTGACCCTATCTCAGGGCAAAAATTGAGATATGTGGACCCAAACGCCCTAGTCTGAAGATAACCAAATCAGCATTCCTCCTCCTTTTCTTCACCATTATCCCTATCATATGCAGCCTCCTCCCGGGTGGATGGAACCACCTGCTATGGCTGTTATAAGTCACCAGTGTTCAGACAAGCCCCTTTAGCCCGTGTTTGAAGCACCTCTTGTCTACTCACTGATCAATGTTAAAGTCCTCTGCACTAGCTGACAATTATCTCCAGCTCCCCCATTTTTTAATCATTTCAGGCTTCTCCTCTTTTGGGGAATGGAGAAAAACATTTGTTCTAAAACCTTGAGACATCTGATACACCAGACAGCTCAGAATGAGTCAAATCATCCTTTAAAAGGACCCATGTCTCATAGTTCCTTATCAAAGCAGCTGAGCTGACCATCTACACTAACTAAAATTTGATGAGATGAAATTTTACGCCCTGCTCCTCTCTCATCCCAACTCACCATGCAGAGGTGTTTTTCCCTGCATTGGAGTTGGCCATAAAAGCCATCCCATTTACTGGCAATATTCAAAATCATGCCTCATGAGTCTTATTAGAGAATCACAGACTAGTTTGGATTGGAAGGAACCTTAAAGTTCATCCATTTCCAACCCCCTGCCACAAGCAGGGACACGTTCCACTAGAGCAGGTTGCTCCAAGCCCTGTCCAACCTGGCTTCGAACACTGCCAAGGATTGGATATTAAGAAACAAAGCAGAGGAAAACCAAGAGAAACCGATACTTTGCCCTCCAACATACAGCCCCCCAGGAATCTTGTCTCCAAAGTAGAATGAGCCCTGGAGTTACAATGATTTATGTCTCCTCAAATCTTTTTATTCATCACTAGCATTGTGCAGGGGCATGACAGGTTAGCGAGTGATGCCAACAGGAGAGGAATAATGAGATAAATTACAAGGTAGACACAGCAGCTCTCCATATGTTCCTGCAGTCTTATTTAAACCCCTACCCTACAGCTCAGAGGGACCTGCCGCTCCAGCTCCTGTCGTTGCTGGCTGAATCAGCATTTTTGCCCTGATTATGTTGTAGAATCTGTTTCACTAGAAGGTCTTGCAAGGAGGAAAAATAAATCACTGGTTGTAACATAGTAAAGATGTGCCTGGGTTTATCATTCAAATTAAACTCAAAATTTAGCATTAGAGACCTGCATTCAAATTTGTAACAGAAGAACTGAAAAAACAGTGAGATTAATGAAAGTAATTTCTCAGCCATCCCAAATGACACTTTCTGAAATGTCAACTGATGTGCAATTTCTCCACTGAAGTAGTAATTAAAATCTACAGGTGTTTAATTAAACAATATTATTCCTGAAATTATGTTGAGGTTTGTTTTTTTCCTAGAAAAAAATTGAGAAAACAAGACAAAAATTAATAGTATCACAACTGGATCCCACATATCTCAACCGGGGCACCTGCAGTCAGTGTCTACCTTTGAAAACTGAGGCCATGTGAGAAGCAAGTGAGATGCTGGAGCCAGGACTGGAATATAAACACTTCTGATACTGCAGTCCTGACAGAATCCATGAAACTGTTCTTCCCACCGAGTCATTAACCATCACTCCATTGCACTGTTATAAATCTGTATCACTTTCTAGCAATGTCGTTGTGATTTGTCTCTCTCAAGGTAGGTAATGTGTTTTAATGACAGAATCATAGAATGGTTTGGGTTGGAAAGGACCTTAAGATCATGTAGTTCCAACCCCTGCCATGGGCAGGGACACCTCACTCTAGACCATGTAGACCAAGAATCTTGCTCAAGACTCTTCTTCCAGACTAGAAGTCTGGACTGCAGGACATTCCCCCTATACACAATGTACCTCCAGAAATGGGTTGTCAGGAGAGAAAACTCACCGGCTGCCCCCTGGGTCCTCGAGGGCCCTGTGGTCCTATGGGACCAGCATCACCCTGAAGTGAAGAACAGGATTGTGCTGAGTGAGAAAGGTCTGACATGCAGGCAGGCAAACAAGCATTTGAAAATGTTCCTACTAAATCACACTGTTCACAAATTAGGGGGAAACAGCATTAAATGAGTCTCATTACCTTGAATTTTAAATATCTATCACTAAATGTCTTCTGATTACAGGCAAACACATTATTATCAGGTTATCTTGAAGCTGGATTTCACAGGGACAGAGATTCTCCAGTACTTTTCAAGAATTTACTATTATGTTCTTTTTGAGGGAGGCTTAAGACCTGCTTCTGTCTTCTCTGAGGGGTTTCCTTAGGTCTATCTTCCATTTGACTTTGTAGGGCACCATTTATTTCACAACAGTTTTCCAGTGGTACAAGGGGGTGCAAATGAGAAACCGCTTCCCCAAGTCCCATGGCAATGGCACATTGCTCAGCAACTGCTGCAGGATCCTACGTCAACTGCACTCTCCCAGGACTGTGTTATGTGGCTGTATCTGACCCTAATACTGTCAGAGGACCTGTTTGTGTATTATCTTTCTTTCCATCTTATTCCATGGGTATTTCATAGATTTCAATGGAGCTACACACTCAGTAAGGTTCATCTTCTGCAAAGGAAGCATGACAGAACCTGGCCCAGTGGACCTGCAGGATGAAGCAAAGGGATCGCAGAAAGCAGCTCCATGGCTATGTGGCACAGCCTGGGATTCAAACAATGCAGCTTCCTCTGCTTTTCCAAAGACATAGCTGACATTTAAGTGTTGGCAGCTGAGCAGTGACAAAGGCCTTCATATTCTTCGTTACCCTAATGGTCTTTGCACAAATCACTCCCTGTGCACTGCTGCAATAATTCACCCTTTATTGCAGTTTCTGCAGCTGGCTTAGGTCAGGGTCACTGTGAATTAAAATCTTCATTTGTCAGGGAGAAGGAGATTATTTTCTGTCCAAAACGGTACACTTACATCCTTCCCTGGTGGCCCCTCACGACCAGCAGGACCTGTCACACCTGGTTCCCCCTGCAATTCAGCAGAAAAGAGAGAGCTATCAGCTTGAGGTCAAAGGCAGAGCAGTAACACCACTGTAAGAGATAAGGGGTTTCTGCAATATTGGGCTTAGCTCAGTGAAAACTTTTTCAAAGCCAGCAGGAACCTCGTTCATCACATGTGACACGTTAAGTCATACACATTACTCAGAAGCACCTTCTGTAAATGCTGCACAAGGCAGTACATTGCTTTCCAGAGTATTTGCTATTGCATTCATGAAAACACCAACCTATTCATGATATAGAAACTATCATAATGAGGACAAGATGAGGAACTCACTAGATTTTCCAGCTAAGCTCCTGCAAGTAGAGCATGTTATTTCCCTGTAAAAACACAGAATTAGGCAGAAGGACGTTCAGATTTGTACTTCACTTTCTACACCAAGGAGCTTTTTGTACTGTATTGCTCAGAATGGAGAGGAGACCAGCTCTTCATGAAGGAAGTTTTAGGGTTTGAGTTTTAGGATCCACAGTCAACTAAGTCAAAGGACTAAAGACATTTTTCTGTACTTATTTCTATAAGTTTTGTTCCTGAACTTATTTTGCACTTCTTAAGTATATTTGGAGGAGAACTGATACTTCTCCAACAAGTGCAGTAGGTTCCTCACCTTGTATGTCAGCATTTGTACCAGAGTAAGGAGGCATCCTTGAAACTTCCTCACAAAGGGCTATCTCAAAAGGACCATCAGAGGGCTCAGCTCTACCAGCAGCCACACCTTACCCAGAATCAGAACTTCAGCAGAGGCCAGCTGCTGTGATTTTATGCTATGGGGGTGTGCCTCATGGTTGAAAACAGCCACATTAAAAACAGACCTCTCATCATTTTTACCTGTTGCCTCAGAAAGGCCGACTTCACTTCACACAGTCTTTCTCCAAAGGATCATGCATGAGGTACAAATTACTTACCCGGGGTCCTGGAGGACCTGTATCTCCTCTCTGTCCTTTGAAACCCTACAAAGGAGAATGAAATCAATAATCATCCATTACCCTGATGCATGAAACACTAAGAAAACTTTATCTTGAATGTTCACTTAATATCCTTCCCAATTTTGCCTAAGATTACTGTGGACTGGTCAGCATGGAGCTGCTGTGTCCCAGGGAGTGATTAGGAACGGCCACATCACAGGAGGAGTTTTCCATAGCTCTTTGGCTGCGAGACCCAGACTGTTCCTGGTGTGAACAGCTAATAAATCATTTAACCCTAAATTTCTATTGTTCCCATCCCTTCAGAGGACAGATAAGAGAATGCAAGGGCTACAGCTGTGACTATGCCTCTGGTAGGAGGGATGTCATAAAGTTACGTGATTTAACTTCTAGATAAGGGACCCACGGTTCTCCAGGTGTGAAGGATGTGTAAATGACTGTGCTGGATTTCTTGTAGTTATTTATTTAGTCACAATGACATGACTATTTGCAGCCAGGTCAGCTCTTTGGTTCTGTGTTTCCACCAGTAAAGGGCCTCATCTGCCCATAAAAAACTTTCCAGCTACAGTACAGAAGAGTGACTAAATTGAACCCTTCAGAGCAGTACTTACTGGTAAGCCTCTGGCACCCTCCCGGCCTGGGAGCCCTGGTTCTCCAGGCTTTCCCTATGTGAAACAATCATATTCATGTTAGCGAGATTCTCAGGTTCATCTCTCTGTTGTTGCAAACCTCTCACTCTTTTCCCTTAGATGTAACAGCACTGAGAATTGTGATTGCTGGAGTCTGAGCATGCAAAGAAGACACTAGTGACAGACATTCTCATACATACCCCTACCTGCACTGCCACGAACATAGCCTTTGAGATTCAAAGGAAGCTTACACCTTTGGCCTGGTGCCTCTTCGCAGTGATTTAATGAGGGGTAGTGCACAAAACTGCACCAATACCTAGTCAGCACATACAAAATCAACATCTACATGTACAAATAGAATCATGGAATAGTTAGGGTTGGAAAGGACCTTAAGATCACCTAGTTCTAAACCCTCCTGCCATGGGCAGATATGCCTCACCCTATGCCATGTTGCCCAAGGCTCTGTCCAACCTGGTCTTGAACACTGCCAGGGATGGAGCATTTACCACTTCTTTGGGCAGCCTGTTCCAGTGCCTCACCACCCTCACTGTAAAGAGCTTCTTCCTTATATCTAACCTGAACTTCCCTTTTTCATTTTAAACCCATTACCCCTTGTCCTATCACTCCAGTCCCTGATGAAGAGTCCATCCCCAGCATCCTTGTAGCCCACTTCAGACACTGGAAACTGCTCTGAGGTCTCCCCACAGCTTCTCTTCTCCAGGCTGAACAGCCCCAATTTTCTCAGCCTGTCTCCATATGGGAGGTGCTCCAGCCCCTGATCATCCTTGTGGCCTCCTCTGGAATGCTCCGTGTCCTTTTTATGTTGAGGACACCAGAGCTGGACACAATACTCCAAGTGGGGTCTCACGAGAGCAGAGTAGAGAAAATCAGGCGCTTCAATGCAAGCACACAACTGTCTGAAGCTGCTGTGAGAAGCACAGCTCCACATACCCATTGTCCTAATGACTGGGAACTTGGCTCTTCCCAGAACCAATAACTCCCATTTGACAAGCCACAGAAAAGGGCTGGCAATGCCGGACGCTGGAAACACATCGTTCACGTAACAAACACAGTTGCAAGGAATAACATTCACTGCCCAATTTATTAACAGTTCCTTTTAGCCAACAACTTCATGGCTCAGCTGTTTTCCTCTCAGCAAACACAAGTACAAACTAAGCAGTGAAAATAAAATATAAAACCTCTCATGCTGGACAATAGAAGTGTTGAGAAAAAGCTTCTTTAAAGACACCTCCTTTAAACTTTTTTATGCCCCATAATTTTCTACTTAAAAAATGGATCACTAGGTTTAATGGTACCAGACAACCTTCTTTCTCTACAATATTTACCATAGCTGTAAAAGTGGAATCACTAAGTTTCAGTGTATTTATGGAAGCTGTAAAAGTAAAAGAACCTAGTTTCTTTTCACAATTGTGAGTGTGTGACTCTTATAAATTGCTCAAGACAATTTAGTCCTGTTGTTAAAAGAAGATGTGCAAACAGGCTTCCTGCCCTCCCTAAGGAGTCCATAGACAGGCAGCTCCAAAAACAATAACTGGATGAGGATCTGATTGCCTGAACAAAACAGTTTTGCATCACATTACCGGTTCCCCAAGAGATCCTGGCTTGCCATCCTTGCCATCATTCCCAGCAATTCCCTGTAAATGAAATGCAAAACAGGGTATAAGGAAGGAGTCGACAGGGAATATTTACAGTGACAATTCTGTTTCAGTATTGCATACTTAAGTCTGCCTACCCTTCCAAAAACTACCCTATTTCTATAGCTCAGCCATAAACCCCTCCTTGACACACCACTGTAACAGCATAAACTATTTCCCTTTCCAATATACCAAGTCTAAGGGATTTTCCTCCTTCTCAGCAATGTGAGTGCTCCAACAACCCTAAAACAGGATTCTATAAAGAGGTGTTCTGAATCATTAGCATGCCATTATTGTCATTCAGCTGGGCTACTTCACACTAGAAACAGCTCTAGTCCGATTCATAACGGATTAAACAAAAAACCAAAAACACCCTCCACATGTTGTACTAATACACTGTCCAGGAGAGAAGAGTCTATGCCCAAAATGCACTTGATCTTGAGTCCGTGCAAAGGAATTATTCTGACTGGATTCAGATAAAGATAGCATTCTAGTCCATGATTTTTTCTGCTCTTACACTGGAGCTATTAGTTGATTTTTGTGCTCTGCATAAGAGTATTTCTTCCAGTTAGGAGGCAGATAAGGAACAGACCCAATTCACACTGGTAATTAACACTTAGCTTTAAAGTGGTCAAATACAGCATTCACGCTGTCCTGGACCAAGGGCATAGCATTAACTTAAGAGATGCCATTATAGGTCATGCCTACCTTTCAAAGCACCTCAAAAACGTCACCTCTTTGTTTTACACACCTATGTGTTTAAACCTATAGTTTACAGTACTGAACTAGAAGGGGCTGAACTGCACTCACTGGAAGTCCAGGCAATCCTGGTGGGCCCTGTGGACCTGGAGGGCCATCTTTACCCTGGAAAGAAAGCACAAACACTGTGGGTGAAGACAAGCTGCTCAGGTGCTTCTCTCTGTTGAAGATTTATCAAATGCAGAGACTGACAAGGGACAACTATGAGAAGCAGGTCTTGTAGTCCATGTCACACAGTTTATGAAACTCCTTGAATTTCTTCTAGTTTTTATCGGAGGTTCTTTTCACATAAGACATCCAGTATTAGTTACAAATTCTTACAGATGGAAAAACCATTGAAATCACTGGTATTTTTCTTCTGAGGTATTATTATATTTAATATTTAGTCCTTAAGTTCCTTCATGAGATGTCCAGCCAAGAAGTCAAAGATCTATATTTTATACCTATCAAATCAGTACTTATAAGAAGTGCCTTGCTGACAGTCCTAAGAAATCCCTTTACAGGACCGCACAGCAGCATCCCAGTGTCTCAACTTGATCATCCTTTTGAAAGGGATTTTCAGCCAGCCTGTCCATATAGACTGTGGCCTCTCTGTTGAGAGTGCTCACTGATTTCATAACAGCCATCAGAAGGACCATCACCGTTCACTTACGATGAAGTTCAGGTTGAAACGGACCTACAAATGGCATCTTGCTCATTAGGAAGCCCTGCTCTAGAAATTAATCACATAATTAGACAGTCTTAAACTGTTCCAGCTCAACAGCATGGGTTATTCAAGGAAGGTTCATTTTTTTTCCTTTCCAACCTGAAGTTAACATCAATCAGATTACTTGTCTCTCCTAGGGTTTTATGATGCATTACCATAGAGTAGCATCTGAGCATCCTTCAAATGAAAGAGTGATAGCAAAATTCCTCATAGTCTTCTCAAAGGTTTTATCTATACTGGTATTTCCAGTGGTGCCAGGGAATGTTCTCAGGTCCTGGCATCTAAATTCTCTGTCCTGTGACATTCTTCACAGTTTGCTGGTCCCAATTTGACAATCCCCACACAGGTGTTAGCTTGGGTCATGAAACATCCTAACACATTCAGTTATCCTTATCTAGAGGCGAAGAGACATTAATAGCAAGGAAAGACAGGTAAGAGGTACAGAAACCTCCTTAGAGGTCCCATGAGCTAGACTATGCTCTGGCTAATCTGGAATTTCATTCAGTGAGTAAACAAAACTGCAAGACCAGAGTAATCTGTGGTTATTTGTGGAGGTTCCACTTGTAAGTCTAGAGCTGATTCAGGCTGAATATTTTGGGGATCTTTCAAAGGACATTATATGGTTTCCAGCTCAGCTTTGCTTCTAACAGCTAAATATAGCTGAAGCTGGTGGTGAAACACACAGCTTAGAGCTTACTATGTCTCCTGGGTTTCCTGCTGGTCCTATTGGTCCTGGTGCTCCATCTGGGCCCTAAACAAAATAAAGCAGAAACAATGTGAGTGATTAACACATTTTGTACAGTTGTCAACACACTCCCTACCACAGCTGGCAACACTGAAGTTCACTCTGTTCAGCATTCATTCCATCATTCCTTCATTCATCCCAGAAAAGCAGCGCCAACCTCTGCATTGAATCAGCCTCCAAAGCCAGAAATAGTCAGATATTTGAGTCTGGTCCTGGCCCTTCCTTCTGAAAATAGGGGACAAATAGGAAAAAGACAATCTTGTGATATAAAAATAACTTTGAAGAGCAGTTTGAAGCACACTTTATGGCGGGAGCCACAAAGCAATGCAAAGAGAGTGGAAAGTCAGCAAAAGATGAAGAAAAAAATATCTGAGGAACATCACATTGAGGTCTGCTTTAACAGGCTCAGTTTTACCTCACACATTTCCTTTGACTCTGAGACTATTCAAAGGGTCTCATAGGACAATTTTAAGTGTTTTAATCCGACTGGAGTAACCCTATGGCTGTGGCAGTATGAGGCTAATACAGACACAGCAAATATGTCTGTGTTATTAGCTTGTCTTAAAATAATGCTCACAGGAGTGTAAAAGCTGGTCCACAGGTTGTCTCAGTGGCAAAGCATTCAGCATCCTTTAGACACTGCTGCAGTCTGAAAACAGGATTTTAATCTAATCCTCTTTCCTGGTACTTCCTGTCATTGAGTCAGTGCAGTATAAATTCAACTTTGAGGAGACTGTGCTGATCCCCAGAACAAATGAAAGCTGCACACCCTCAGCATGGCAGAGCCAAACTGCACTGTAAGCAGTAATATGAGTAGTGATGACTGTGGGCAAAGAAAAGCAGTTTGGAAAAAAAAGTCCTTCACTCAGGAAAAGTCCCAGCTCTTGGAGGGTGTAAGCAGTGGTATCAAAACCAGGACAGCCAAGTTATTTCAGCCCTGCTCCTGCACTGTAACCCCTTTTTAAATGCAAAGAAGCATAACTGTTTTAGTGAAGAGTAGAGATAGGAATGAGGAGGACTGTGACAGAGAGGGACACAAGTAAAAGGATATGAATAATGGAGAAAATCCAGTCTCATAGCACTGTGTAAAACTGAGGACTAAATACTGTAAGATCTGCTATTTCTAGGCTGCCAACTTATTCCACATATAAGAAAACACCTATACACATACTAAGTAGTCCCTGTGGAAGAGATTTCATCATCGTTGTCAGACAGTGAGTGAAGCTGAGCATCGATTTACAGAGTTGAAGCAATCAGTGAAAAGTAGCCAATGTATTAAATAGCAATCATCATGAGTGGGGAAGTATGACACTCAGGGGACCATTAGGAACCCACTGGAAAATGCAAATGCAATGCACAGACAGATGGGAATGGTCCCTTCTTCCACATGGAGCTTGCAGCAACCTTTACAAAGGAAAGTACAGGACCATAGAATCATAGAATGGTTTGGGTTGGGAAGGACCTCAGGATCATCTAATTCCACCCCCTGCCATGCGCAGAGGTGCCTCATACTAGACCATGTCACCCAGTCTTTGTCCTAGAGGAACTTACAGGTGGACCAGGGTTTCCAGGAGCCCCTGAGAAGCCAGGCATTCCAGGATGGCCCTGTAAAGCAAAAAGAGAGGCTTTCTTTATGCGTTATTATTCACATCTCTAGTTGTTTAAAAGCTAACTGGTTATTGAACATTGTGAAGTAACATCAGAATGAGACAATTCAGAGAAAGGTCATTATAAGGAAATAAAGAACAATGGCTGTTTAAAACAAAACCTTGGTTTTCAAGGCATGAAAGTCAAAAATAAATGTAGTTAAATTTAAGGTGTAATTTCTCTAATGTGTACTTCAGTCTATGCTAATGGAAGATGAGAACAGACACTGTGGAACTGTACAAGGCAGGAGATCAGGCAGGAAGCAAACCTGCTTAAAATATCCTACAAATCTCATCGAAGAGTTGCTGGTTTGCACCTTCAACTATTGACATAGCTCTTGCTAAAATTAGCTGTGAAAGTTTGCTTTAATTTAGACCATTCTCCTCTTTCCTGTGGCATCTTAGTCCCTCCTAAAAGGTCATTGCTACATTCATAGAGTCATAGAATCATCACCTTCTAAGACAAATAGAAACTGTTTTTTTCAACCCAGTGACACCTGATGTCCAGGATCTCATCTAGGCATTGTCTGGGGAAATGACTAAGGGCTGGGTAATGTAGAGAATTTAATGTATCCAATCTAGAGGTGAGGAAACATCACACAAGAAGATTTTCATTGGAAACAGGGGTGGAAGTCTGTGGAGGACTGCTACTGTTCCACTCACAGCACACTTGAGATTTATGAGTGATGAAGAGCTCCCATCTTCCTCCTCTGCCTCTGAGAAGGATATTCCTCTACAAGCACCATAGGAGTTATTGATGAAGGAACAATCACAGTGATGGCACTGCTTGAAAGAAAATTCTCTTTTTACCTGTTCACCTTTTTCTCCTACATCCCCGGTCATACCACGGTCTCCTTTAGCACCCTGATAATGAAAAAAAAAGCCATTGAAAGTCATTTAGATTCAGTATTGTATCAGCTTTTTGAACTATTTCATAAAGCACTTGAACATTTGAGCATAAAACTCATAAATTAGGGCCGAGTCCTACTTGCCCTCCTCTTAAATTTTTCCCTAGACTTTTACTACCAGTGTTGGAGTCAGGAATATATGTGAAGAATGGCCTTTGAGCATATCGAGTATAGGCCATTTTTTTTATGTTGTAGTCTCATAGACATGAAAAAGACTTACACATCCTTAGAAATTAGACAGGTTGTTAGAAACTTCACTAAATCAGATCTGGCCCAACAGTATGAACCAGTTGGCTCCTCTCCCTTCAGGAACAGCAGCAATAACAACGGTTTTTCTAAGGTGCAGTCAGAAAATTCATACCCAGAAAGTGCTCCCCTCTTTCTCAATCTCTCTATTCCCCAGTGACAACAGAATGGAAGCAGCTAACTCAAATGTAGATGTCTGTATTATCCATGTTTAAAGTAAGGCAAGATGAGTCTCACACGGAGCACTAGTGAGCTGCTGGCCTTGAAGGTAATACTCTGGTTTACTTCATGAGAACTAGGAGACAAGTAGGGGAAGAAGGGGCTACCATTTAAAATTAAAAGAGACATAATTCATATTGCCAGAAGGAAGGAGGCTGCTCAGGAGCAAAGATCTGCAGTTTACTGTTCTATTTCAGAATGGGACTCAACGCTAGTTTGGATGGTGTTGGTAAGGACAATATACTACATCTTCAAAAGTGCAGATCACTGTGAGGGTCTGCCTAATGTATTTAGAAAGGAGTCACAAAGACTGTGTTCACACCTTCTCAGGTGTCTTAGAATATTTTCTTTAAATGTTTGCAAGCTCTGTGAATCTGCCTTTTCACTGAATACAAGTTAGACTCTTTATCAATTACTTTATTTTATGCACATGTACAGTTTAAAATTGGTGTTGTTTCTCTACATAAGCATTCAATCTGCCCAAATTTCTGCTTTCTCAGAGCATATAAGAAAGCAGCAGACGTGGAATGTCTCAGGCTGCTTGGCTTTTCTGCCAGTTGTTGTCTTGATGGGTTACTAATTCTTTTGCAAATTTTATGCTGGGACATACTTTCATTTTGATCAACCCAATATTTACTTTTGTGACTCTATTGCTCTCCCCACCACACTTTTAATTACAAGATATAAAATGAATTCATGAATCTCTATTAGCTTGTTCTACACTCTAGTAAGTGCAAATACAAAGATGTTAAAATAGCAGAAGCTGTTCTAGACAGTAGGTCTTAGCAGGTCAGTAATGCAGGGAAGATTGGAGGAAACTGTGGCCCATCATGAAACCACCTTAACTCTCCCTTCATTGATTTGTTTTGATTTATTTCACATTAAGCAGTTGTAAAGGTTTTGCTTGTGACCAGGCACTGGCATTGTGAGCAGACTGATGACAGACCTCTGCATAGAAAATGCTTGAAATGTGACATTATTGGAACCCTTCAGACATCAGAAGTTTTATGTTGGCCTCGGCCCCTAGACTGTTAGTCAGAAGCTGAAACAAGGACTTCTTCCTATAGCATGTTTCAGGAAACATTCAGAGTCTGTGGATAAGACCACCATGGTAGATAGTGTATAGGGAGCTCAGCAGCCCATTGCATCAGTCTTAATTTAAATGGTAGAAGCATACAGGATTCAAAGAGGAGATGAAACAGCAGGGTACCTACTGCTGAGGCTTTCCTCTCTTCCTCACCTCATTTAGGAGAGGTGATTTACTTCTAAGTCCTTATTTGTCATCAAAACACTGGTATAATGAAACTCAACATCAAGAATGGGGCCCTACACATGTGTGTATGTGTCTGTGTGAGCAAAGGGATAGTATAAGACACTATTTAAGTGAAACAGTATGCACATGAGGAGCTGTACAGTTCTGCATGCACATGACATTCCAGTGACTTGCCAGTACAGGGTCCACCCAACAGGCCAGTCCTACTCTTTACAGAGAGATGGATGCCACCAAGATCCTGCTTCAGCCAGTGTACTAACTAGTCACAAATAAGTTTTCATTAGACAACTGAAGAAAACCAACCAACCTTTGGGCCATCAAGCCCAGGTGGGCCTGCAGGACCTCTGGGACCAGCATTCCCCTGTAATGCAGAACAGGTAGACTTAAACACTAGTTTATTCCATTGACTCGACAATCAGCTAAAAAATATTTAATAGGTTGCTGACAAAAAGAATCAACCATCTAAAAATACTATAAGAAAACAAGGTTACAGCACATCCAAGCCATTGTCACTTCTGCAGCTCTCTTACCATTTTCCCATCCTGGCCATCTCTACCTGGTGGTCCTCGGAGACCTTTATCACCTTTGAAACCTGGGATGCCTGGCAATCCTGGTGGGCCAGGAGGGCATTCAGTGCATACATCCTAGGAGAGAACATAAGGAATGAAATTAGTAATGCACTGTGGAGCAGAATGAGGGTCAGCAGCTGAGCTCACACGTCCCATGGTTTGTTTCCTAGCAGTTCCAGTTGGACAGGTCCTAACTGATCATCCAGGATCAAGAAACAAAGGAAAAGGTCTTCCTAAAGGGGACTTCAGAGAACCACAAAGCAAGGCTACCAAGAACAACCTTGTTTCAAAGCTACAAGACTGTGTCTACACAAGTCTGAAAGCTATGTTACTGCTCAGAGGACAGATTATTAGGGAAAACCCAGGTGCAGCACAACATCAGAAAGAATGTTTTGCAAGAGAACCTGCATTCAGCAGCCAGCATGGTCAAGGAGAACTCATCTGATGGCATTTCTGAAGACCAAGTGAATGTCACAGTGTCCTGGCCACTTACTAGCTCGCTCCCTCCAGAAATTTTTGAAGCATCGTCTCAGTAGTCTTTGCATTTCTACTACCCTCAGGAAATGAAATACTTTGGGTATGACATTTTCATTTCAAAGACAGATTCCCTTCAGCAAAAGGGGATTAAATCCTGCCTATAAGAGACAATGGAGCAGAAGACACTAATCATCAGGCTGGGAGTTGGGAGATCTTGCTCCAACACACAACTCTGTCAATGACCCATTGCAAAATTGGGGGGTAAACTGTCTTTGTAAGTCTTAGTCGTGACACGAGTATTTATCTGTTTACAGTATAAGTACTTGAGAAACATCCAGAACAAGAGGCCTGATTTTATCTGGGACTTTAAGGTGCTGTACCAAGTGTGGAATGAAAAAATACCAAGCAGAAAGAATATGCAAGGCATATGAGTGCGTTTAACCATAACATAATCAAAGCACAAAGCCAAAGGAACAACAAAATGATATCCTGTAGCCAAGAATCATTCTCTTACTATTGTCCTTATCAGAAATCCCAAACAATACCACACAGTGAAACCTCCAGAAAAACACTTGGCTCCCTAAGAAAGACAGCTCTTCAGTGAAGCCATTTCACAGTGGCAATCTTAAAAGGCTCTTTTTGTAAATGGGGTTGGTAAAACCAGGTAATTTTTTAGTTTTAGTTTCTTCTAATCAGTAAGAAAGGATTTTTTGCCATGTCCCAAGACTGCTTAAAAATCTCCCAGCTCAGCCCACTTAAATCTGTAAAGTTTTTGCAATCAACAGCTATCAAATACTGACTTATTTCCCAGACAATTCCCTACATGGAGAGTAAAAGAAGACAGATAGATCATCACTTTTGAAACATGGGTACATCTGGGGTTAATTACCTGCATCCTTTCAAATGCACTATGCAAACCGACTGCACCCACAGTTCAAAATTACTCAGGTCATTGTTGAATGTATACATGAAAAATCAGACATCTCATTAAAATGGTTTCCAGTTTCTGGTTTAGGTAATACAACTGGACAATGTTTGTTTCTCCTCGGGAATGCATGCCTTAAAGAGCCTAAAAAGGCTCAGAGCTCTTGTAACATACACCATGTTATGAAGATCTTTGTAGATCATCTCACTGCTGGGGATGGTAAAAGGATTTTGATCGCCAGCGTGTGCTCCAGTGTCTCAGTACCAGTGCAAGCAGGAGACCTGCAAGTTTCAAACTTTGACAGAGTATTTAAAGGCATCCTTTGCACTTGTAGCTCTGACACTTTCCCATCACAGAGTGTTAGTCAGGTCTGAATCAGACATACAGTTAGACTCCCACCATCATCAAAGGCCAATTACCTTGACTAAGAGATTTATGTCCTCTGGAGAGAGCAGGGGTGGGGAACCCTGTGGAATGAGAAATCCATTATTCAGGCAATTTTAAACAGCATCAAAGTATAAGAACATTTCCTGAACATGCTTATGGACTCTTACTGGTTTCCCTCGCCCTTCCTAGGCTGAACACGTACTTCCTGCCCTACATTTTCACTGCACTTCATCACATCTGAGATGAACTCTTGCTGAGGGTATTTACATGCAGGATATCCTGTTATTTCCATACTGTTCTAAAGCCATTCAGATACTTTTACCAGAACCCCTTAGTGTTTCTTAGTGTTTTTCAAGTTGTTCAGCTGGAAAGAGCAGCAGTGGAAATGCACTGAAGTGCACTTCTGAGGTGAGGTGTAGAGGTGGAAACTGAGTTAAAAAGAAGATGTAATGTAGAAGTGAAGTTACATACTGGTTTTCCAGGAGGTCCCCTTTCCCCTGGATTCCCAGGTAGACCCTACAGATCAAGAGAAAGAGAAATTATCATGCAATAATATTATCATACAATAATATCCCACACTCTACTTGCTGACAGCTCTGGACTAGCGCATTTTACTTTCTGCCACTGAGCACCACTGCTCCTTGCATGTGACAAACAGAGATATCCACAACTTTAACATCTTCTGAACCCCTCCTAAATCTCATTTATCTATTCTGTTACCTTGTTAAATTCGAGTCATACAAAGTCTGAAATTGCTTTAGTTTTTCTTCTTATCACAGGAAGCACTATGCGCTGCAATATCATGAAGGATGAAGCTTTAAATCCCTGAAGACTCCTGTAACATGCAAGATCAAGGCTTTGCTTTGCATGAGCCTCGCAAACAGGTCCCTTGCACCTGAAATAGCAATGAGCCTTTTTGTTTGTTTGTGGGGGTGTATTAGTGTTGTGGTTTAACTATTGGTATTAGTTTTCTTGTGATGAAGGCATACAAATGACTAGAGTCCTTAGAATTTAAGGTTCAGGAAGTTACAGGGTTCAGGAAAGTTATAAGGTTCGGGAAAAGGTACACCACCCCTCAGTGGTTTGCTTGTCATTAGCTTTGTTAAAAAATAAAATAAACATGAATAAATAAGGAAAAAATCAACAGATAAAACAAAAGATTATTTTGGAATCCTTGGATAAAGTGATGCTCACATGAGAAAATTAATTTTTTGATCAATGTCCGGATGGTGACAGAAATCCACATTACAAGGATCCTTGCAGTAGTGTTTTAAGTTGCAGTGGGTGATATTTCCCCAAACCATTCTCTGCTAAATCCTGTATCTACCTGGCCCATCACCCTGTGTCATCACCCATGCATATGCATGTTCTATCCATATTAAGAACCTTAAAGGACACACAAAATACGTTCTAGCTATCTTACCCACATACAAAAGGCTGTCCTACATGACCATTTTTGCATCCACAGGAACAGTTTCTACTGCCCATTTAAAAGCATCTTATCTGTGTTCAGGTTTGTTGATTCTGTAACAAATCCCACCTGGAGAGATCTCTGGGATGGTGCCAGATTAACACCCAGGCTGTTAATCAACATGCTGAAGATACCAGCAGTGGTTTTCAATCAGTCTAGTCTTGGCAAGGGCTACCAAAGGGACTCTGAAACTATTCCATATTTCTACCTATAAAGCTCCTTTAGAAACTGGCCAAATGCTTTGCCAAGAAGGGGACTGGGCAATCTGTCAATCACTGTATCTCAGGCTGGTCCATTGTCTCCAATCAGTTCTTTGCATTATTTATGCAGACAACTAGATGGACACTTACTTGGCTGCCTGGAGCTGAATGCCTTAAGCACCTTCAGATATCCTGCTACACCATAATTACAGCTAAAGACAAACTTGGATTTCATCATTGTATGACACTTATAACTTAAATCCTGTATCTCTTGCTAGAGGAGAGAGAAAATGGGAAAATACATTGATTGCACCTTTTCTATGTTCACAATAAACACTCCTTGGTCAACAACCCTTCAGTTACCTTGACTTTCTGACATGAATATTAAACATGAACTGAAGTGGAACTAAAGTGGAAGTGAAGTAGTACTGAAGTCCATGGATGAAAGCTTGTTTCCCGAGGAACCAAACCTTCTGCAGGTGAGAGCCAAGAGAAGATAAAGCGTGAAGGAGATTCTTGGCTCATAATTATCAACAAATGTCCTCCTGGGGAACTGAGTAAATATCAGGAAACATTATAACCTTTTATAGTTTTGCTTCTTATACAGAGCAGCAATGTGAATGTATAAGATTGTGGGATGTTTCCAAATGTTCCCTTCTCTTTCACAGATGTTAATTGTCAGGTCATGCTCTTGGCATCCTCTTCACTGTGGTTCTCAATCACTTCTGGAATCAGGAAGAGGGTTGTCTAAATAACAATTACACAGATCTTATATTCCCAGGCCTGTTTTGCTCAGGAAGATTTACACAGCACTTACTTGAAGGAGTGCAAGGAAAAGCAAAGACTTGAGCCATAAGAATCATCCTGGATCAGAAAGCAACACAGAAAAGACAATTCAGAAATGTCTTTCATGCTGACTATCCATGTAGCTATAAATAAACTATTTCTACCATGGGACTCCTGACAGCCTTTTGCTTGGGGATCTGAAACATGACATGGTACTACCAATGGAATTTGAGCATTTGAAGAAGATCTATTTAAAGATCAATATAGAAAAGACTTCTTATTTATGAGAAAAGAAAGGGGTGACTAAAACTGAAATCCTGGGAAAGATCTGTGATATCCACATAGTATCAGATCGCCCTGAGGCAAAAAAGGATGGACCTATTTTCTTGAACATTGTATGATGTGGACCTGGAGATGTCTTTACAGGTTACAAATAAGCCAGGACATTGAACTGAACACACCAGGCGTAGGATGATGGCGCTTCAGCATATTGCATTAGCAGAGAACAGGCAACTGGAAGCAGAGTCCAAAGTAGAGGAAAGATTTCTGGGCTGGAGATAGAAAAGGATAACGACAGAAGGCGAGCTGCAAACATTGCTCAGAGCAGAATGAAAGTGCTCAGAGGGTATAATTGCACCTGACAAGCTGACTAACAGGGGAGGAAACTGCAAAAGAGAAAGCCAGAAAACAAATGCATTAAAAAAGAACTTCAGAGAGCCTGCCCCCCCAAAAATGCATGGTACTGAAAAAAAATGCTGTTAATGTGATGAGGGGACATGCATGGTGCAAATAACCAGTGTTGGAAAGCTCATAACATTTGAACACTTTCAGGAATTTACAGCCAACAGTGGCTGGCAAGAAGTAGAATATCCAGTGAGAGGTAGAGCAAACCAGTGCGGGAAAAAGACATCAGTAGTGTGGAGGTGTGGTGCACAGATCTTCAAAATGCAACACACAGGAATGGTCTCTAACTTCCATCAGTGGGGACTGATGGAAGCTGTGCAGATGACATGCTGAAAATTGAGGCTTAGGAAACTGATGCATGGGAAAATAAAGGTGGAAACCAGTCATGCAGGCTTATGGAGAGGTAGTTCTATTACCAGACTGAAAATTAAGCTTGAAATGCAATAGCTAAAATAGGTTGTAAATCCCAGGAATAAAAAGCCAATAGGGGATTTAATAAGTGTACTCTGGTTTGGGGTGTATGCATCCTAAAACAAATACAACGGCTCCTTGGAACTATCCTTCTAACTATACGGGAAAATGAACCTCAGAACAGAAAACTCTGCTTTTCAGCTCTGATGGCAGTAATTATGCATCCAGAAAGTTTTTGTAATTATGACAATAAATGCAGGGAAGATTAACTTCTTGGTAACACTGGAACTTAGTTATAAATAATTAACATCATTAAAAAGTTATTAATTCAATGTTCACGTTAATTAAAATGATCATAATCAAAATGTAGAAAGAGCTTATTAAATTGGTGCCCTCGCTGCTAATAGTAGGACAGAAGAATGTCTCGTTCAGATTGTTTTCTAATCTATGGGAATTAAATAGGTATGTGAACAGAAATATTTTATCTCCCAGCAGACAGACAGAGGAGAATGGATGCTTCTCCCAAAAATGTGTAGTGTAAGGTTAAGGTCAGAGAGTGTCTGCTCCTTTAGAGGTACCTTTTTCAAAGCAACAAGGGAAAACAAGGAGAAAGCCATAAATAAATAAGAACATAGAGGGACATGAACCTGACCAACAAATAAAGGAGGCAGTGATGGGAACCAAAGCTGGACAGTCACACTAATTGTTGAAGGTGTGTGAGAGTGTGAGAAGGTTTGTTCCAGCAAGATTATCTGATCCAGGTTATCTGATTCCTTACTTTCACTTTTGGAAACTAAGGGAAAAGGAAAAAATCAGAAACAAAATAAGTCAAGACACAGACCTAAACCTGAAACAAACCTTGCAACCCACACTAATTGATAGGCTATCAAGAAACCACAGGCTGCACTTCCAGGAAGATCAAGCTGGACTTTGCAAGTGTTAAGATTGTAAACCAGGGGGACCCTGAACTGGGAGGGGGTGCAGAGATGTGGAGATGCATGAGGGGATATGCATGAGAAAAAGGGAGCAGAGAGGAATAAGCAGGGGAGTATACAGACAAGGGTATAAAAGGGACTGTGTAAATGTGTTATAGAATCACAGAATCATAGGATCAACTAGGTAGGAAAAGACCTTTAAAATCATCAAGTCCAACCATTACCCCAGGACTGTCAAGACCACCACTAAACCATGTCACCGAGGGCCTCATCTACATGGGTTTTTTCATTCCACCACTGCCCTGCCTGGGAAGCCTGTTCCAATACCTGATTATCCTCTCTGTCTGTAAAAGGTGCTGGTCAGTGCAATTGTCTGGCTGAGTCCTGCACCTGATCACTATGATCCTAACGTATCTTCCTATTAATCCTTTCATCACTATCTCTTGGCATAATGTGTATGTATGTGTGCTGCAAGAACTAAGTGCCAGCTACCAGTGAGACCTGCATGTTACTGAAAACTGGTGCCAGCTACTGAAGTCAGACTGGGATCCTGGCTCCCAGTCTATCTGTCAGCTACTGGAGTGACTGCCGGGGTCTTTGACCTCT